GGATGGATTGCCATATTCACATGTCCACAAATACTCAAAACTCATTTTAAGTTCTAAGTAATACATACTAAAACTGCAGATTCAGGATGTAAAGTAGTAAATAGATGATACAAGAGCACTTAGGAAACTGAAAACAGAATAGATCAATGGAAGAAGAAATTAGTTAGCTAAACAATAATAACTTACAGATATCTACAGGGCAATTTTCCATTTCACATAAATATTGAATATTACCATTCAATTATGTATTTTACCATAATTATCAGCATAATCATTATTAGTATACCATGATGTAATTTTATACATACATCATATTACATTATACTAGTGTAATAATACTTCATATTAGTATAACATGATGTATTTTTCCAAATTTCAGAGGAAATTTAGGACTAGAAAGAAATTCATATTTTTATCTAGATGTTCAGAACTCAAAGAAATCCCACCTTGCCCCCCACCACACACACACATCAAAGTAAACAGAAAGCCTATCTTTAACGTTTTAAGAAATCTCAATTATGATTTTTAAATTAGAAATAACTATATAAAAGATGAATTTTTAAATGTAAAGAAAAACCAAAAAGCAAGAATGATCAAGTAAACAAAAAAGAATAATAAAATACACCACCTCAAATTACAAATCCTTTATTTGTATATTATACATCTGACAAAGGTCTAAAATGCAGAATATATCAAACAAACACAGCTCAGCAACAAAGTAAGGAACACAACAAAAAATAGACAAAAGGCCCAACTAGGATTTTCTCCAAAGAAGACATATCGATCCATTGACACACACAAAAATTATCAGATCACCTATGTTTGAGAAATGACAATGAAAACTGCAAATAGATATCATCTCACCCTAGGAGAACAGCCTATGTTTTAAAATATTGGGGGTATGGACCTCACCAAGATATGATCTGCTGAAAATTTGGGTATGCAGGTTTTGTGACTGAAATCTCCAGGCTTACTCAGAGTTCAGATAAACTACCTCCCCTCACCTCCCTGTACTTCCAGAAACCTCAGCAACCACACCCACATCCCAAAGTGACCACCTAATTGAAAAAACTACTCCAGCTTTATCACCATCCTATAAAAATACTACAGCACCATAGCACTGTCCTCTCATTGTTCATCGATTTGATCAAGCAGGCACCAGTAACGTCTCCATTGTGAGACTTGTTGTTACTGTTTTTGGCATATCAATACGTCATGGGGAGCTTGCCAGGCTCTGCTGTGTGGGTGGGATACTCTCGGTAGCTTGCTGGGCTCTTAGAGAGGGGCGGAGGAATTGAACCCCGGTCAGCCATGTGCAAGGCAAATGTCCTAACCACTGTGCTATCGGGTAAAAATATTAAATACCCTAGACAAATGTGACCTCTTAGCACCTGTATCGCAAACCATAATGCACAAAACCAAAAGGTGAGAGAGAGCAAGAAGGAAAGTGTCTCCCATAGAGGGAGACTGAGGATTGGGGGGGTGGAGTGTTGGGTGGTGGTGATAGGAAAACCAGGGGCATTGGTGGCAGGAAATGTACACTGGTGTAGGGATGGGTGTTGGATCATTGTATGACTGAAACCCAATTATGAACAGCTTTGTAATGGTGTATCTCATGGATATTCAATTAAAAAATTAAAAAAAAACTATGTGGAGTTCATGCCCAATTCAATAATTCAATCAGCTTAATCAATGATTGGATTAAAAAGCAGAAGCACTGTAGCACTGTCTTCCCGTTGTTCATCAGTTTGCTCGAGTGGGCAACAGTATCGTCTCCCTTGTGAGACTTGTTGTTACTGTTTTTGGCATACTGAATACACCACAGGGAGCTTGCCAGGCTTTATTGTGCATGCGGGATACTCTCAATAGCTTGCTAGGCTCTAAGAGAGGGACAGAGGAATCAAGCCCAGGTTGACTGCGTGCAAGGCAAACATCCTACCCACTCTGCTATTGCTCCAACCGCCATGGCGCATTTGATATTCAAAAAAAAAAACAGTAACAAAAACTCTCACAATGGAGAAATTACTGGTGCTCGCTCAAGCAAATAGCAATACTCCTACATTAAAAAATATGTAGGGGCAATTATTTGTGGAGATATGGAAAAAGAGGAAACCTGGTATATTGTTGGAGGGAATATAAAGTAGAGAAATCTCTATGGAGACAAAAAAATTCAAAAATTCTACATGATTCAGCAATACCATGCTCTTTATTCTAAAGAACTTTTACCAAAGAAATAAAGGTAATTTCAACTCCTGTGTTAATAGTAGCAATAGTCAAAATATCCAAAATATGGGATCTATCCTAAATGTTCATAGACAGATGACTACATAAAGAAACTATGAACTCAGTGGAATACTACTATGCCATTAAAAAGATGGAAACTGTGCCATGTGGGGCCAAATATACAGGTCTTAAGGTCATTATTATCAACAAAATAAGCAAAGAAGTAAAATGAAACTACTAGATAGTTTCACTCTTGAACAGAACATGAAGAGCTAAAGCAAACAAACCAGGGAAAGCCAATAAAACTAGTGATGGTTACCAGAGAAAAAGAGGTTGAGGACTGAGAAAATTAGAGATGAGTCTTTCGACAATGAAATGGCACAGAAACTTTCTTGGGGAATGTTGTGAGTGTCAAACACATATACAAGTGTGAGGCTAAATCCCTGAAATCCCATAATACTATAAATCAGTGATTAAAAACATGTGCCTATCCCTCTCTTTCTGACTCATTTCGCTTAGCATGATACTTTCCATGTAGTACACTTGCATGTAAATTTCATGACTTCATATTTTCTAACAGCTACATAGTACTCCATTGTGTAGATGTACCAAAATTTCTTTAACCAGTCATCTGTTCTTGGGCACTCAGGTTTCTTCCAGTTTCTGGCTATTGTAAAGAGTGCTGCAATGAACAAACAAGTGCAGATGTCACTTCGACTACACATTTTTGCTTCTCTGGGATATATTCCCAGGAGTGGTATTGCTGGGTCAAATGGGAGCTCAATTTCTAATTTTTTGAGAATCGTCCATACTGTTTTCCAAAAGGGTTGAACCAGTCGATATTCCCAGCAACAGTGAAGGAGTGTCCCTTTCTCGCCACATCCCTGCCAGCACCAGTTGCTTTTGTTCTTTTGGATGTGGGCCAATCTCTGAGGTGTGAGATGGTATCTCATTGTGGTTTTGATGTGCTTCTCCCCATTCATCTGGGGGACATAAAGTAACAAAATAGGAGATTAATACCCAAGAATAGCGAGATCAGTTCCAGGAGGATTACTCCATGGCTTAGAGGCCAGCCGGGCATTCTAGGGGAAAGGGCAGCTCAGATAGAGAAGGAAGCACTAAATAAAGGGTGTTTGGAGGATCCTCCCAGGATGGGAGATGCATGCTAAAAGTAGACTATAGACCAAACATGATTGCCACGCAATGCCTCTTTTGCAGACCACAACACCCAAAAGGAGAGAGAGAACAAAAGGGAATGCCCTGCCACAGAGACAGGGTGGGATGGGGGGGATGGGTGTGAGGAATACTGGGATTCATGGTGGTGGAAAATGGGCACTGGTGGAGGGATGGGTATTTGATCATTGTATAATCAAAACCCAAGCACAAAAATTTGTAAATATACAACTGTACCTCATGGTGTTTCACTAATAAAAATTAATAAAATAAAAAAGACAAAAAAAAACATGTGCAAGTATAAAAGAGGGTCACTCTTCTCACTAACGATTTTAATGAGGTTGCCTTTTACAAAAAAAAAGATCATTCTGCTAGAATGTATTGAGTTTGTTATTTCAAAAATATAATACATGTATATTTTAAAATTCAAAAATAATCAGCCTTTTCAAGTAGCAGATAGTAAGCTATAATAACCAGGGATGATGAGATGACAAGTTGTAATCTAATCTAATTGGGATCATGGACTTCTTCAAAAAGTGGATGTAAGAAGAAAATTTTTCCACAATAAATTCTATGTTCCCTTTTACCATGCAACCTTGGCCTTAACCATATTTAAGTATGACAAAATTATTTTAATATGAAAAAATAACAAAATATATCTTAGTCATAATGCAAATAAAATCTGCCACTTGGCTAAAAACTACCTTGGTCACACCAAACTATTTTAAAACTGAATGTCTTGAAATGACAACCTTGAAAAAATAATAAAAAAATCATTTATATGAGTATAAAACTATGTATTATTAATTAATTATACTTGTTAAAACATCAATTTCATTTAACAAAATTAACTCAATTTATCAAACATGTAGTTTTTGTTGGCTGTGAAATCTTTTCTCTAAACTATGAACTTTTCTTTTACACTTATTTAATTTCTTTGTATCTATTAACATCAGAAAAATTTCTAAGCAATTAAATGAGCATTCAATATAACCGTATCCTTGCCTTGTAATGTATACAGTCATGCCTTTGTCATCGTATCTTTTTTGTGCCCTAAGCACAAAGCCAAGAGTAAGTCCTGAGTGCAGAGCCAGGAGTAAGCCCTAAGTACAAAGCTAGAAGTAAGCCCTTGAGCACCATTAGGTGTGATCCCAAAACAAAACAACAAAATAACCCAAGCCCACCAGGAGTTATCCTTGAGCACAGAGCCATAAGTAATCCCTGAGCACAGAACCAGGAGTAATCCCTGAGCGCTGAGCCAGAAACAAGCCCTGAGCAAGAACCAAGAGTAAGCCCTGACCACAGAGGCAAGAGTAAGAACTGAGCACAGAGCCAGGAGTAAATCCTAAGCACAGAGCCAGAAATAAGCCCTGAGCACCATCAGGTGTGACCCCAAAACAAAATAATAAAAGCCCAAAACTAAAATAAACAAACAAATAAAAACAAGATTACGATCACAAGAGACAACTAGAAAATGCTAGGTTACTTGCTGCTATCTTCACAAAATACTATCCAGAAGTGAGAAAACTTCATCAGTTTTAATGGTCATTATCTGTCAGATAAGAATAGTTTTCTTCTGGAAAGATGTATGCAATCCCGACATAGTCTTCTTATTCTCTTCCTGATCACCACGGTTGGTTACCAGGTGTGCGATGGACGGGTCTTCTTCACTCAGCGCCATATTCTGCAGGTATTATCCTTGCTGCCTGCAGACACAAATTCCACTTGTCACTTTATCTTTACTCTCCCTTTCTACTACTTGACATGTTCTGCCTCAAGGTCAATTACCATCATGGTAAATGTGCTGGACTGTCACTGAGCAAAAAAAAAAAAAGGCATTTGTGGGGGTAGGGTTAGGATTCCTATCAATATTCAATTGTGCAATTTTCTGTCTTCTACCAGAGGGATTCATGGTATCTTAGAATTGGAGAAAGCTTGAGAATGTACCGCTTTCACTGTCCCTTTGGTGCTTCCCTTAACTATGGCCACCACATGGGGACAAAGGGATCTGGAATATTAGGTTTTCAAGAAGAGAATGAGCTATGGAGGAGAATACTTTCTACTTTGGAACACTTGAAAATGTGCATCAATTTTTCTCATCATCAATTTAAATACGTAAGCCATCCTCCTGATAGACAATCCTTGTCCCTACTATGTCAACTTTCCTTTAAATGCAGCCTGGTGGAACCCAGCGGCTTCTGGCAGAAGTGCTTCTGAACTTTGAATTAAGCTATGGCAAGTGCCACCCCAGGAGGGAAAGGGCATTGTCCCTTCTGCCTTATCTCCTCGGTGGCGGCATGGTGACAGTCATCTTTCAGAGCCTATTGGACAGAGAGGTATGAGCCTGCAATGACGAGACATGCTGGACCTCATGCGATGGGGGAGAGTGGAACTAGCTCTTCTCCCTGCCCCAACGAGATCCCAAGTTGCAGCCCATGGCCAGCTCCTCCAGCTCCTGAATGGCCATGATCCCAGAGGCACACAAACCAATCTCGGAACCCAGCGGCTTCTGGCAGAAATCCCTCCGGACTTAATAAAATATCAGAAATCCAAAATCATATGTTCTTTATTATCAGAAATAGAAAATAAATTATCTAATGATGCCTTCTTGGTAGGTCTGATTGTTGTGTGTGTGGGGGGGGGGGAATTCCAAATAATAATGGTGAGTCTTCTGTCGAAAAATTGAATGTAATCAAAGTAGAGAGAGAGTAAAGTGGAAATCATCTGCCACACAGGCAGGGGGAGGGATATGTTGGGGGGAATATGGGGGCTCTGTGTGGTGGAAGATGTGCACTGGTGAAGGGATGGGTGTTTGATCATTTTATTACGGGGACTTAAATCTGAAAGCTTTATAACTGTTCTCACAGTGATTCAATTAATAAAAAAATTAAAAAATTAAAAATAAATAAAAGCAGCCTGGGTGGGTAGGTGGGTAGGAGCATGAAATAACACAGCAGTTAGGGTGTTTGCCTTGCATATGGCCAACCCAGGTTCAATCCCTGGCATCCCATATGGTCCCCCATGCACTACCAGGACTAATTCCTGAGCATCGCTGGGTGTGACCCAAAAGCTATGAATAAATGAAAGCAGCCTGGGTAAACTCGGTTACATTCCATCCACAGCCCTGGTGTGGAGCTGTGCTGAGTGGCTGACCTTCTAAACTTTGGGGACCAGTACTCAGCATCAGTATAAGCAGTGTGGCATCTATGTGGATTGTGAACGTCCATAAAAGCTGCACATGTCTGCAAGAGGTATTTCCTCTTTTTTGCAGGTAAAATGGGCCTGCTTGCCACTGCTCTTCCAGTTTGGAATCCCACTCCCAATCTCAAAAAAAAAATTTCACAAAGTTAGTAACACAAGGTTCCCCAAGAAATGACGGCACTTGAAAAACAAAAGCAATTGCTCTGCTAAGGGTGAGATAAAAGATGCATCTTCACTCCAGCCAAGCTCTGTCGTCCATATTGGTTGCATTTAGCACCTTGGTATTTGGGATGCACTAAATTAGTATGCAGGGGGATCCCAGACTAGCAATATTCCTCCCCTAAGTTCTCCAGGGTCCTCTGTGAAGAACAGTTGAGGGGAGAAGTATTGCAGATAGCACCTTGTTATTTGGGGGTGCACTAGATTAGTATACAGAAGGAACTCAAACAAGTGATATTATTCCCCTAAGTTCTGCATAGTCCTCTGTGAAGACTATTTGGGGGGGGGGTGATATTGCAGTGATGGTTTCATCAAAACCCTGGGCTCTAGAAATCAGGGCTTTGGGGGCCGTCTGCCTCCTTTCCTTGGCCACAACTTTGCAATAGGCACCCCCTCCTCTTCACCTCACAAGGGTCCACATTCATACACACAGCTAATCGTTTGAGGAGTATCATTTGAGAAATTTGTACATATTAGTAAATGCTTAACAACTCTATACCCCAGGGAAGCAGTCTGTAATTTCAGAACTCATAATTAAGGAGAGAATGCAGGTACTTTAGAGCAAGAGAGGTTAATCTCAGCAGCCCCAAAATAACAAGGACTAATCAGCCATGAGAGAAACTCAGCCTTGAGTAGGGAGCATTTAACCCTTCAGGATTCGGGAAGCAGTTGTCAATGCTCTCAAACACAGTGGGAATCTCGGAGAGGTGGACAATCTTAGGGTGGCTCTACCAAGCACTGGACACCGTGGCCACACGAGGGGCTGCCAATCCCCTGCCTGAGACCCCACAGGGGCCTCTGATTATCTTTGACTATTGCTATTACCAGTGCTGTTCTAGTATAATCATATTTTTGCATTTCTTTCTCTTTCCTCAACCAAAATTAGCTCCTTCTCCTTTAGCAACAAAACATAGCTAAAAATAAAATGCTGCCCATGGGATTAGTTCGCAGTAAACTGTCAATGGTTGACAAAGAGCCTGCATGCATCCTTTTACCCAAATATTAATGTGTTCTTTAGGGACAATCCAAGGGGAAAAGAACAACTTAAAAAAAAACCCCAAAACAGACCTCTGACGGGGTACAAGCTGGGTCTGTATTTGCCCTAGTTCTTGACCTTCCTGCCATCACCTTAATATTAACCATGTGGGAGTAGCGCTCACTTCTGAGGTTCAACTCTATAATTAAAATCCAATATAGAGGAATCAAGGTGAGTCTGGGACCATGGAGACAAGGAGGGTTAGGGATGAGCCTGGGACCATAGAGACAGGAAGCGGAAGGGGCGGGCCCGTTTGTTCTTCAGTTTGGCAACTGCCCATGTGAAAGGTTAATTGGGTGTAGAAAGTTTGCATCCCTCCTACCTGTGATGATGATGTCGCCTTTGTAGTTGAAGGCACAAGAGAAGATCTCATCCGTATGCCCCTCGAGAACCTGAACACATTGCCCCGTGTGAGCGTCCCAGAGTCTCGCTGTTTTGTCAGCACTGCCAGTGAGCAGACGGTTCCCTTGGGGATTGAAAGATATCTGGCAACAAGGAACACACAGAAAAGGGCATCGGTCTTGATATGTTTTAAATCAACAAACAGGGACATTGCCCAGCACTTGGCACCTCCCCACTCAGGTATTTTCTTCTTTCAAAAAAAAATATTGATTTTGAGTCTGGTTCACAATTCTTAAAGCTGCAGAGCATTCCATTGTGTATATATACGACAAATTTTTTTTGGCTTTTTGGGTCACACCCAGTGTTGCTCAGGGGTTACATCTGGCTCTGTACTCAGGAATTACTTTTGGCAGTGCCGGGGGAGGGGAGTGAGCAAGGGGGAGCATATGGGATGCTGGGGATTGAACCCGGGTCAGCTCCATCCTGTCCACTGTACTATAGCTCTGGCCCCCTATACCACAACTTTTTGATCCATTCATACATAATTGGGCCTTTGGGTTGTTTCCATGTCTTGGATGTTGTTCTAAGCACAGCAATGAACATAGGCATGCATGTGTCCTTTCAAATGAATGTCTTTATGTTGTGGGCATAGATATGAAGCTCTGGGTGATGGGTAATTCTATTCTTCTTTTTTTTTTTTATAAATCTCCATATTGCCTTGTATAAAGGCTGAACTGGGTGGCTCTTCTTATAGAAGGAATTTCAGTCATGATAAGAAAAACAGGATAGGCACTAATGGATTAAATGTTTTAAACTGAGTACAAGAAGCTTATTTTCTTTCTGGAACCATACCAAGAGTGAAGTGCAAAGCACTGTGATAATCTGAGTATTCCCCAGACTTCACAAAGGCTCGGGGTGGCTTTCTCCGGGAGAGGCAGAATTGGGCCTGGGTGCTAATTCACTTATCTGTACTCTGCAGCCTGATATTCTGTCACCAAATGCAAACTGTCATGGAGGATGTGAACAGCATGTCTACAAATATTACTTTGTGCCTCTTGCTACTTGGGAAGCAGTATAGAACCATAAATACAACCGCCTGAAAAATGCCAGACACAAGAACTTGGCTGGCATGGGAGACGCAGTCTAAGGAGACCGTCAGCTCATGCCTCAGTGCTTCCCTTGAGAACTCTCTCTCATACATCAGAAGCCACTTCTGTGAGTAAACAATAGACAATGTCAGGGCCATGTATTTTTGGCCTTATGCTTTCTCAAAAACTCACAATGCCTAGGATAAAAAAAATCTCAAAAAAAGAAAAGACTTTATTTTGGGCCAGAGAAATAAGGCATTCGCCTTGCACATGGCTGACCTGGGTTGGATCCCCAGCATCACATCCGGTCCTTCCAGCAGCACCAGTAGTGATCCCTGAGCACAAAGCCAGGAGTAAACCATAAGGACTTCCAGATGTTATTGCAAATCAAACAAGCAAACAAGTAAAGCCTTTAGTGAATGAATGTTTGATATATAGTCCATTGAAACACCATACCTGAATTGACTTAAACAAACATAATAGAGTTTGAGAACTCTTTACACAAACACACACACACACACACACACACACACACGGTATAAGCACTTGTTGAGTGTGATAGGAATGCCAATAATTACCAGGTAATAGGAATGTGTGATAGGAATGCCAATAGCAGTGTGATAGGAATGCCAATAATTACCAGGTAAAAAAACTTTCCAAGGCCTCGCCTAAGTCCCCTCCAGAGCCTGTCCCCCACGTGGGCGCCACCCCATCCTCATTGCCTCTGCCAATCCTAAGGTAGCTCAGCTTATAGAGGGTGTCATCTGCATCCTCAAACGCCTTCTCTGGCTTCTGACCGACCATGATCCCAGAGGCACACAGACCAATCTCGGAACCCAGGGGCTTCTGTCAGCAATCCCTCTAGGTTTATTATTAAAATATCAGAAATCCAAATTCGTGTGGCCACTATTGTGGCCACACGACATCATATGCTCTTCATAATCAGCAATAGAAAACAAATTTTCTAATGATCTCTTTGTGGCAGGTCTGAATGTTGGGGAAAATTCCAAATAACAATGTTTGGTCTTTTGTTGCAATATTGAATGTGATCAACAGGAGAGAGAGAGAGAGAGAGAGAGAGAGAGAGAGAGAGAGAGAGAGAGTAAGTGGAAATCTGTCACACAGGTAGAAGGTGAGTGGGAGGGGGGGTATACTGGGGTTCTTGGTGGTGGAAAATGTGCACTGGTGAAGGGACGGGTGTTTGATCACTGTATAACCGACCAAGACTTGAACTGAAAGGCTTTGTGACTGTTCTCACTGTGATTCAATAAATAAATAAATAAAAAAGAGGGTGTCATCTGGCAGCTCTTGGAGACCAGCAATAAAATAGCAGAGGGTGACAATGGCCAGCAGCAGATGCAGTGAGAGAAGGAGAGGGCACAACAGGGACCACTGCACTCTAGAAGGAACTACAGAGACCTGAAATTGTTACTCTGATCATTTACATAAGGAACGAAACCGGATCCCAAGTAGGAGAGCAATTAACCAGGCAGAGCTGGGAAGGAAGAGGCATTCCCTGCACCTCATATGATCTCCTGAGCCCACTGGTAGCTAAACCTGAGCTTAGAGACAGGAGTAAACCGTGAGCATCGCCCATGAGCATCAATGGGTGTGATGTAATGTCTGAGGTGTGGTTTCTTCCACAACAAATACCTTTGTTAAATTGTTTCCTTAAAAATAAATCTTGGATTTTAATACCAAGATAGGACCGAGAAGATCAGCTGAAGAACTTCACAGCAGGACCCATGGCCTAGAATGGAACGAACAGGGTGAGAGACTGTCTGAGTTCATCATGTCGACCAAGACCATCCATGGTAACTCACAGTTCCAGAAGGCAGAATCTAAACGTTGGACATGGGAGTCCCCCGGTGGACGATTCCACAACGAAATAGACCACATCATATTCAATCAACAGTTTTGCCTGACCGATGTTGCTGTTGTCCCAAAATTTTGAATGGGATCGGACCACTGTCTCCTTCGTGCAAAATTCTACTTCACAGAGCGGGGAGAAAGGGCTGCAAAGTTCAAAAAGAGAACTCCCAGAATGACCACCAACTGGGAACTCTTTGGCACTATTGAGGCAACATGGGAAGATGCCATTGTTGACAACATTGACGAGGAATACGATCGACTGGTTCAGCACCTCCATGAATGTGCGAGGAATGCCAAGAGAGAGATAGCCACAAAAAAAAAAACGCCTGTCTTCGAAAACTCTTGAGCTAATTCGCCAGCGTGGTTTGGTGCATGCCTCAGGCAACTGCAAGCTAACGTCCGAGCTCGCAAAGAAATGCAGAGATGCGATCAAGGAAGACCTCAAAGAGAGAAGAGCAGAAGTACTGGTAGATGCAGCAGAAGCTGGGAAAAGTATTCGTTACGCCTGCCTGTCCTTCGCCAACTACAAGACCAAGATGACTGCCCTCTGACGCCCTGATGGATCCATCACATCCTCCAGAACAGCAATGGAAAAGATTATCCATGACTTCTACTCAAATCTCTTCGATAGCCATGTCCACTTGCCGACACACCAAATTCCATAGGATGGATATGTCGTTCCCAATGTTCTCCCTTCTGAAATCCGACATGCCATTTTGTCGCTAAAGAAACAAACAGCACCCGGCCCAGACAAGGTCAGACCTGAACACCTGAAGAACCTGCCATCAGTACTCATCAATACACTGGCTCGGCTTTTCACTCGCTACCTGTCTGAATGCAAGGTTCCGTCCCAGTGGAAAACCAGCAGGACCGTACTACTGTTCAAGAAGGGAGACATCCATGACATTGGCAACTATCGCCCGATCTGCCTATTGTCTGTCATCTACAAGTTGTTCACTCGAGTCATCCTAAATAGGATTGGCAGAACGCTAGATGAAGGACAACGATGCGAGCAAGCAGGGTTCCGCAAAGGATTCAGCACCATCGACCATATCCACACGATAACCAAGCTCATTGAGGTTTCTCGGGAGTTCAAGATGCCGCTCTGTTTAACGTTCATTGATTTAAGGAAGGCCTTTGATTCTGTTGAGATGGAAGCGGTCATTGAAGCCCTAGCCAATCAGGGCATTCAAGCCCAATACATCAGAATCCTCCGTGAGCTGTATTGCGGATTCACTACCAGGATCTCACCATTCTACAAAGAAGTGATCGTTGATGTCAAGAGAGGGGTTCGGGAGGGTGATACCATTTCACTGAAACTCTTCAGTGCCACCCTCGAGAACATCATGCGACGACTGGAATGGGAAGGAATGGGTGTGAAGATAGATGGTCGGCAATTACACCACCTCCGCTTTGCTGATGACATTGTTTTAATAACACCAAACATCAGCCAAGCGGGACAAATGCTGGCCGACTTTGACCGTGAGTGTGGAAAGGTCAGACTACAGCTGAATCTTACGAAGACAATGTTTATGAGAAACAGCCTCGTTCCTGATGCCCCATTCGCTTTCAACGGAACGACCATCTCCGAATGCAACAGCTATGTATACTTAGGTCGAGAAGTCAACATGACAAATAACCTGGCACCCGAGCTGCGCAGGAGGAAGAGAGCGGCTTGGAACGCTTTCAAGAGCCTCGAAGAAATAGCTAAGAGGACGAAGAACCTCCGGCTCCGGGCACATCTCTTTGATTCCACTGTTCTTCCTGCATTAACATATGCCTCAGAGACCTGGGCCCTATGCAAACAGGATGAGAATGCTATTCAGGTCTCCCAAAGAAGAATAGAAAGAGCTATGCTTGGAATATCACGTTTCACTCAAATGAGAGAGAGAATCCGGAGTTCTGACATTCGACGATCAAGAATCAGGGACGCTGTCTCATTTGCCAAGGTGTCGAAAATCAGATGGGCTGGTCACTAATGAGATTTAAAGACGACCGCTGGACTAGAGCTGTAACCGACTGGATTCCACAGGATGTCAAAAGACCGCTTGGCCGCCCACCTACCAGATGGTCAGACTTCTTCCTCAAGATCATGAACGATCGGTTTGAGGCTCTTCATGATCCCAGAGCGAACAGATGCCATTGGGCTACACTAGCACGCGACAGGGACAAATGGAGACGTTACTGGCGCCCGCTCGAGCAAATCGCCGACTAACGGGAAGTTAAGTGATTAAGTGATTAAGTGAAAAATAAATGAAAATGTCAATAAACATGAACTTTTAAAAGGTCCTTATTTTTTTAAGACAAACAAATGCCTTCAAAATTTTGCACTGTAGCACTGTAGCACTGTCCTCCCATTGTTGATCAATTTGCTCGAACAGGCCCAGTAATGTCTCCATTGTAAGACTTGTTACTGTGTTTGTCATATCGAATACGTAGCTTGCCAGGCTTTGCTGTGCGGGTGCGATACTCTCGGTAGCTTGCCGGACTCTCCCAGAGGGGCGGAGGAATCGAACCCGGCTCAGCCGGGTCAGCCACATGCAAGGCACACACCCTACCTGCTGTGCTATCGCACCAGCCCTTTGCAGATAGATAAATTATGGATAACATGTGGTTATTCTTAGAGCCAGGTGTAAGCCCCGAGCACCATCCCTGATCATCACCGTATGTAGCTCCAAACAAATAACAAAAGTGAAAGAATAATCATGCTTTACTTATAACTTGAAAATAATCATTTATCTAGCACAAAGTTTTGAAAGTATTTGTCTTTAAAAAATATGGACATTTTAAAAGTTTATTTTTATTGACATTCTTAACTTTTTATTAAGGATGGTATTTGTACTTGCTTCAAAATGTCTTGATAGCTCTTATAATCCTCAGGTCACCATTGAGATGACCCTATTCAGGGAATAAAATTTGGGGGGGGGGATTTTTAGGAAATTCCAACCAACAGCCTTGGAGCTTCAAAATAGGTCATTTTATAGTCCCCTGAGCAATGCCTGGAGCAATCAGTGAGCACAAAGCTGGGATGAGCCCCTGAGCACCACTAGCAAACACCCTCCCCCAATAAACAAATTAAAATGAGGAATTTTATATACTAATAAGTATTTAAATGTTTCCAGGAAATATTTCCTCACTTGCATCTCATTTGTAGAACTTGATATTGAGACACTGCACTGGTTATTTTAGGGTGTGTATGGTTTTGTTGTTGTTGTTGTTGGTGGTGTGTGTGAGTGTATGTGTGTGTGTGTGTGTGTGTGTGTGTGTGTGTGTGTAACATAAACTAGAACCAGAAAAAGAACTTTTAACCAGTATTTTCAACTAATTAATATTTTCCTGATGGTTGAGGAGAATAGTACTACATACTTTTGGGAAGGTTTAAGAAATCATTTATGATGCAGACAACCCTTAAAAAACAAAGTCCTTAGGTAACTGATTACTAGCCATGAGCTAATTGAAACAAATCTTAGTATTTCATTTCCATTAACCCACATGTACTAACTTTTTTTTTCATTGTGTTTGTGAGACTAAGTAAGCTTCTTAGAAGAAACTCACCTTTGAGATTTCACTTTCATGGCCCTCCAGTTTGGTAATGCATTTTCTTGTGGTTGCACAGAAAACTCTTGCTGTTCCTTTTTGAGAAGAGTAAGGACATTTACACACTTATATACAGTCAAGAACTACAAACCAAATCATGAAGATAATTCCTCTGACACAGTCTCTGTGCTCAATTTGTCTATAGGAAGAGCTAGTCGCTATGATCAGGGGTGAGAGAAGAAACCAATTTTATTAGCCTATAGAGGGGAGAGGATGAAGAATTTGACTTGGAAAGCTGAAAAGTAATGACTTAATATGTACAAAGACACTTCACAACTTCTTCCATTTATCTTATAGTTTTAGATAGTAAAATATAAATAGAAAAATACACTGAAATAAATGCCACCTTACAATTGCAGCTATTTGTGCCAGTTTTATCATCAGGAAGTCACCGTTAAATGAATTCTTCCCAAATCAAACTCTCTCCCTGAGTTCCACCCTGGGACACATCGTTCTCCATCAGAGCTCAGAAGACATGCTTCTGTTGACCTGGCCTGTTTTCAGTGTTCCACTCACTGACTCTCCAAGCTGCTTTAGCTCTCTGGGCTTCTTGGAAGAATTGACTCTGTACCCTGAGCATTTAATACTGGGGACTCTTCCAGAAATGTCTAAGGACGATGGTCTCTCTTGGAGCTCTCTGGAAAGATCTTTGCCAGTGGCCTTACTGAAAGCATCTCATTCACCTCCTAGTTCATTCAGTCTTGTAGCATCAGTAGCAACTATCTCTGTCTTCCCTAATGTTCTTGACACTATGACCCCAAAGAGTCAGGCAAAATATGGCTGGTATATTTTCAGAATCTATGAGCTGTGCTTGCAGTTCCTTAGGCAAGACACTTTGATCTGCATTTTTTGGGATTAGGGACACCTTATTGGCACTTTGTACCAGCAGTTCTTCTCACGATATCATTATTACTCAGTTCCTTTTGCAAAGAATTTGCTATCATGCCTGGGTCTCCCACTGAGATTCTGGAGCATGCAAGCTGGCCCAACGATGGGAGAAACATGGAGGAAAGGAGTGCTTTTGTATTGCTGAGCTTATCAGAGGATAGGTTCCAAGATAGAAAAAAGAGAGCAACAATCCATAAAAAAATAAAGTGTTTTGCTATGTTTTGGGGGCAACATCTAGTGTGCTCAGGGATTACTCCTGGCAGGTCTCAGTATGGGATGCTGAGGATTGACCATGCAAGGTAAGTGCCCCACCTGCTATACTATCTCTCCAGACTCCAGAAAAAATTTTAAAGAGAACCTGAAAAAGAATTTTGATAGACCAGTTATGAAATAAGCAGCAAGATAAGCTTTCATATGTTATATATGAGTTAGTTACTTAATAAGGTTAGTTAGTAAGGTATGAGAGGCCTTCCGAAGAGGGAACATTTGGAATTTCTCAATAAGCAGCAATTGAAAACACTTTTCAACAGAAAGAGCTAATGAATGGTTTTTGCCTTTGTATTCCCATTGTTGAGTGTCAAGTTCAGAGTAAGGTAAAAGTTAAAGGTAAAGGCCCTCCCATTGTTCATCGATTTGCTCGAGCGGGCCCAGTAACGTCTCCATTGGAGACTTTGTTGTTACTGTGCCTGGCATATCGAATACGTCACGGGGAGCTTGCCAGGCTCTGCCGTGCGGGCGAGATACTCTCGGTAGCTTGCCGGGCTCTCCGAGAGGGGCCGAGGAATCAAACTCGGGTCGGCCATGTTGGCTGCGTGCAAGGCAAACGCCCTACCGCTATCGCTCAATTAACAAATGTAAGGTGTACAAATGGTTGGGAAGAAGGGAAAGGGTAACAAATGCTTCCTTAAAATTAAGGAGTGAAGGGGCTGAAGAGATATTGAAGCAGGCAGAGTGTTTGCTTTGCATGTAGCCAACTCAAGTTCCATTCCTAGTACCCCCTAAGATCCCCAAACCTTGCCAGGTGTGATGTCTGAGCCCAGGGTCAGGAGTAAATCATGCTTGCGATCATCCTGTTGTTCGTCGATTGCCTCAAGCAGGCACCAGTAACGTCTCCTTTGTCCTAACCCTGAGATTCTAAAAAGTGCCACATTCAAGTCTCTTTCAGGGTTAGGAGAATGAGACGACGCATCATTGTTACTGGTATTTGGCATATTGGGTATGCCACGGGGAGTTTGCCAGACTCTGCCATGTGGGCAGGTTACACTTGGTAGCCTGCCAGGTTGTCAAAAGAAAGAATGAGATAATAAGATGTTGTGTGGCCGCGAATGAGGCCACATGCTTCCGGGAGCTGGGTTTTATAGGAGTTTTTATATTTTTTAGTTTTTATATGACTATAAAGGAGTAAATCCTGACCACTAATGGGCCTGACCCCAAGACAAAACAAAGCAAAAAAAAAACATTAAAGAATGCATCAGCACAGAAGGAAAAATTGTGGTAATAAAATTTTCAGTAAAAAAAATCTAGCTATTAAGGAAGTATTTTTCTTATTGCAAATTACATTGTATAGAGATGAATTTGTATACTTAGAAACATTAAGAGCATTTTAAATATTTTTCTACTTTACTAACAATGAAGTAAGAAAGCAGATGAGATAGTGTTGTAGAATATGATTAAAAATATAAAACTGCAATTTGGTGAAACATTTCAAAAGTCTTAAAGAAAAGTGAACAATTTGCTTTTAAGAGTTTATTTAAAGAAATATTCTGCATAACATGAAAACATTTTTACAAAGGCATATTTCAAACTTTAGAAAACACAGCTAAGAAGACCTGAAAATGCAAATTTTTTAGGGATAGAAATAGTGCACAACAAAGTGGCAAATAGTCTTGAGAATAATTCCAATGAGGAAAAAAGTTGTTGTATACATACATATGTGCATAGATATATACATATATATATATATAGTTAAAGTAACCTTTAGAAAACACAGCTAATATGACCTGAAAATTCAAATTTTTAAAGCAAGAAATAAGTAGTGCACATCAAAGGGGCAAAGAGTCATAAGAATAATTCCACGGGGTGCTCCAGAGGGGGCCGGGTGTGGCCCCTCCCTGCCCCAAGGGACCCAGTCCAGGCAGTCAAAAACTTCCAGAACTCAACCGCCACCACCTCATGTCCACTCTCCACATGCTCGGGCCAAGTCTGACCCATGAGTGAACCTATTCCTGGAATGCATGGCTGTGACACTTCATAGGACACGCCCTACCCATACTCAAAGAGTACCGCACCATATTTGATGGGGTTCAAAGTAGGAGGCAACCAATCTTAGAGGGAAATATTTTTATAGATATATATGTATATATATACATATAAACATATGTATATAATAAAAGCATACAAGGCTCAAGGTACAATAACACGTTAGTGATCTCTTATAGAAGGGCTTAATGGCCCCGGGTAAAATTCAAAAATCTTCATACTTTCTTCTAAGGATGCTTTTCTGTAACAGTTTCAGATGTTTTTCATAACAAACACAAAATATATTATTTTGGTTCTGTTTTGGGGGCAGGGATTGAAGTTCAGAATGGAAACGCCCAAAATATGATGGCAGGAAGGTGTATTGGTGGTGGTGGTGGGGTTGGTGTTTGAATATTAAATGTAATGAAATATCTTGAACTACTTTATAAAATAAAAAAAATTAAAAATATAAATCCAGTAAGAAAAAAAATGTTCTCATTCATCCAGGTACCCGCCCGGTGGCAGGGACGCTTCCCAGGCCTGCATCGCTAATAGATCCCCTGAGAACTGCCGGTTTTCATCCTTGGTCTGCGAGGAATGGGAATTGAGGCACACCACATGAAAACAAAGCTGAAGTGCTCCGGGCACTCTCTCCTCATTCATCTAGGTACCCACCCGGCACCAAGGCCCCTTCTCGGAGCCACGGCTGTGTTATTCTCCCACTACATATCCTATAGGAACCATAAATTAACCACTTAGATGGAACTTTCACTAGGTTAGCTTAACCACCAGAAACACATTAGCCAATAATTCACTAAGCCCATCTCAATTCATTCTGCATCTCAAGCAGAATAGTAACAGTGATCATGAAGGTCTAAACCACACTGGTCACAATGGTAAAACAATGCAAAGGCCCACCAAGCTTTCTTATTGAAGAGGATAGCCCAGAAGACATCAACAGTAACGAAGTGCTAGACAACCTCTCTGACAAGGAATTTAGAAGAGAGCTACTGAGGATGCTTAAGGAGCTAAAAGAAACAATGGAAAGCAATGCCAATAAAAGATAAGAGGATTTGAAGATAGAAATGAGGAAAATGCAAAAAAAAATTGCAAATGGAAATGTCAGACCTGAAAAACCTGGTAGGCAAATTGAAAAACTCAGCAAAGGCCTCAGCAGCAGAGTAACAGCTGCTGAGGACAGAATCAGTGAGCTCGAAGATGAACTCCAGAGACACTCCAGAAAAGAGCAGAAAATGGAAAAGAGACTCACAATTCGGCAACAGATGGCAAGAGAAGATCGTGATGAAGCCAAGAGGGGTAACGTAAGAATTGTTGGACTCCCAGAAAGACAGGAAGAAAACCCTGATGAAGAAGAAACCGTCAAAGACATCATTGCTACAACGTTGCCAAAGCTGAAGAAAACATGTGGCCACATTCAGGAGGCCTGAAGGGTACCAGCTAGAAGAAATTTGGATAAAAATACCCCAAGACACATCCTGATCAAAATGACCAAAACCTTAGATAGAGACAAAATTCTGAAAGCAGCAAGATCAAAGAAAGAAATTTCCAATAAAGGAGTATCCTAAAGATTCACAGATGATTTTTCTGATGAAACCCTCATGGCTTGAAAACACCGGTGGGATATAGTGAAAAAAACCTCAATGACATAAATGCCTCACCAAAAATACTTTACCCAGTGAGACTCTCATTCATAACAGAAGAAACAACACACAGTTTCACAGACAAACAACAGCTCAGGAACTTCAAAGACTCAAAACCATGGTTACAAGAACAACTAAAAGGGCTACTTTAAGACAGGAGAGGCCCCTCAAATACACCAAATTTCAACAGAAAAAATGGGACGAAACCCCATAACAAAAATCTCTCTCAACATCAATAGGCTAAATGC